CTCGATACTAACTAATGATTGTTTTATTAACGACTACGATTTTTCTTCCAAATCAAAAAAAAAAGATGAATTATCTATAACTATTGTCATCGATAATAATCATATCTTCTTTTCCATATGAAAAAAAATGAATTTAGAATATAAATACAATGTTTTGACAACAACACTATACACTCATTGAATAGAGAAAAAAAAGATGAATTCCTTTTTATTTTACTCGTGTCGCGGTTCGATGAACGACTAGGCACCATGGCTGGTGCAGAAGGCACTTGCAGGCTGCAGTAGTCTGTAATTCTAGCAATATGCCATAAATTAAGAACACGAGGATATTCCCTAAGTGGAAACTTGTCACTTGATGGGTCCTTATTTCTAACAGCAAAACATCAAGGGAAGTTCACATCATCCAACCTGAACATCACTGACCATGGTAGTATAACTCCAGTAAGCTAACTCAACTAGGTATCGGCTCACTTAAAAAGCAAGTAGGACAAATAACACTTGACAAAATTTAACATTATGGACGGCCAAATACCATACATACTGGCTCCAGGTGTTCATGTTAGGAAACATGGGGTCATGAACTTTATCTTTTACCTTTTTTTTCCAATTCTTGTCAAATACAGTTATAAAGTGACATTCATATATGGCTAAAAATTACAATCAGAAAAATAGAAGAGGCTACTAGAGACATACACTTACACGCGAAACTTTGTCACTGCATAAAAGTTGAGGTCCCATCTTGGCCAAAAATGGAGATGAGTGATGCCCCATTATAGTTACCTCTTCATCAGCAAAACTGGATAGCATGCATGACACAGCAACTCTAGAGCATTTTTTTAAGTCATATCATCAAATTTGAGACGTAGTTATATTAAACACGTATTTCATTGGGTAGAGAAATGGCTGCACTAAGCAAAGCATTTCATTACAAGGCTTCTAATGAAGGCATCCGAGAAGTTGGCATGGAAAAAAAGGTGGTGAATTGATAAATAGGGTACTTATATTGCTTTTACTCCTTTTTCTTGAAATATCCATGTTGAACTTATGTGTCCAACTCATTTCCAGACACGGGTATAGGTGTGTTATATTTCCATAGATATTCTTCCGTGATCTCATGTTATACCTACCAAGATATTCCTCCGCGAACAACAGTTTCACCCCTGCTCTTCGTCTATCAAAGTTTTTGGAGCTTCGTATCATTCAGCCAACCACAATCCCTTGACAAGAATAGTGGCAAGCTCTGACAACGAGATCTGTCAGGGCCAAATTTATTGTCAGGCGTTCGTATTTATTAGAGTCTAGGATTTGAGCATGTCATCTGCATAAATGTTTGAGCGTTCATTATTAAGATATTACCTTATAATCATCTCATTCTAATAAAAAAAACTAGCTTTTAATGGTTGCAAATTAACTCTGCTAAACAGAAAATGACCAAGAGGTTACTCCTCGCTGTATAAAACAAAATGATAGAAGAAAGAAATTCTAAATAGCCAGCCCTCCATCGATCAACATGTCAACACACGTGGACATACGCAAGATTTTATGTTTAAGTGAGGTAAACTTCTAAAATTTTAGAAGGAGATAACTTGTAAAATTATACCCAAAAAAATAGATTATCAATAAAAAAATATAAATAAAATATACTATAGCGACATCCCTGCCTACACATTGAACTTGGGGCTCTTTTAAAATTCATAGTTACCAGCCAGGTTTATTCCCTAATATCAAATTCTGGCAAGATATAACCCAAGCTTGTTTCCTTCCAAATAGAGCAGGAACATTGAACACATAAAAGATCGGGAAACCAATGAAACTATCAAAGATTTTCAACCTCAAACTAATCCAATAAGCAACACTAAGCAATAACAGAGGGTCCTAGCCTATTTCATTTTCCCCTCACAATCAGCATTATTAGAGTCCTTTCATTAATTTAATATCAGTTGTATATCTTTCCAGCTAATAACTCAAATAAGTAACACAGATTTGATGTTATACTTCAATCCCAGAATTATTCTTTTGAAAGAAACAAATCTTTAGAAAATAACAAGGTCATTTAGCATTGAGTAACATATTACCCAGAAAACTAAAGTCTAAAAAGCCAAATGTAGATTACAAATTCTAATGTAGTTCGCTTGAGACGTGGAAGAACATACTGGTTTTTTTTACTGAATTAACTTTCAATAAACACCCAAAATTGCAGACCAAATAGGATCCCCCGAGTACAAAAAGAAAAAACCCGGATATATAATATATGAAAATACTGTAAAAAATAAAAAAATGTAAATTAAGAATAATGGAAGCTTTTAACGTCACCTGAAGAACGCTTCTTCCATTGATCAAGCAAGATTCATGGACGAACTTGACAGTGAAAAAAGAAGAATTCCATCGTGACATCACATTGGGCTTTTTCTAGATGGGATATTTAGACCCAAACAAAATCATATATTTTGGGTTTTGGTCCCCAGGCCTTCCTTGATAAATCTCTATTATTTGACTTATTAATCATTTAAAAAAATATCGGGCAACGTAATTTTTTGGGATAAAATATACGAATGATTACCGATTATATTATAGTATTTTGTTGAGTCATCGACTATAAAAAGTTATAAAATGGTTATTCAATTATAGAGAGTTGTTTTATTGAGTCGATTATTAAAAGTTACAAAATAATCATTTGACTGTTCATTATGTTACAAATTTATACTTTTCCGTTAAAAAAATAACATTTTTCTAAGCTAGATATTAACTGATGATTGAGATATGATAGTCATTTCAGATTATGAGATCAAATTTAATTATATCTCAATTAGCAGACTAACGTCCAACTCAGACTGTCATTAATTTTTTAATAGAAAATGACGAGTTTGAAACATAATGAATAGTTAAGTAATCATTTTATAACTTTTAATAGTTAATTGACTCAACAAAGCAACTTTCTATAGTAAATGGATAATTCTATAATTTTTAATAGTCGGAGAACTCAACAAAGCAATATCCTATAATTAGAGGACCATTTTGTATATTATCCAAAAAAATTTATTATAAATACGAGGTAAATACAAGATAGTGTCTCTTCACAAACTTTCAATCATTTTACAATGAACGCTCATATTTTTGTATACACCGTGCTCAAACTCAAGACTTCATAGAATAACAATGAACCACTTAACTACGAAGATTATTTAGTTTGTACAAACTAGGGTTGTGCAAAAAGATCTGATCCGATCAATCCCATTCGTTGATCCGCTAATTCGATCCGAAAATCAGATATTCGATCCATTCTTTTATTTTTCGATAACCCCGATCGAATATCCAAAAAAACCATATAATCGGATTAAATACAGATTGAATAAATTTTAATTTTAGATTATCTAAAAATAAAAAAAAACAGACTTTTAGATGTTAAATAGCTTTTAGACCAATAAATAAATAATCCACTAACCCATTAAAGCTCTAGCCCAATAAAATTTAGGATATTTTATTATTATTTTTTTTATTAATAAAAAATAAATACAAGATAATATTTATTCAAAGAGAACTTTTAACCGTTTGACATTGAACGCTCATCATGGCATTGTCAGTACTCGAACCTGGGACCTCAAGAAAAAATAACAATTACTTTATTAACGAGGTCATTGGAGTTTGTGCCTAATTATTTATTGTGTGTGAGTAATTAAATATATATAATAATAATAATAATAATAATAATAAATGTATCTAATAAGTTACATTAAGTAACAAAAATATAAAATTATTTTTTTGTCAAATTTTATATTCGAATCTAGAAATCTAATGATTCAATCCTTTAATTTCTATATTTAATTTTTTTTAATTGAATATAATCATTATTTTATATATCTAAAATTTTAAATTTTTAAATTTTTAGGAGATATATGAATTTACACTCCTTTAGTACAAAGTACAAAAACTCGACTGCGCATCATCTGGCTCATTCTTATATCCGTGGTCGGGCTACTTTTTAATTATTTCAACCATCTGTCCCCTTGTATTTATGGGGTTGTAAATGATCATCCAGTTCAGTTGGTAGAGCACAAGGTTTTTAATTTTGAGGTCGTGGGATCGAGTCCCACGAAGGGCATTTCATAATTCGGAGGTCTCTTACGGAAGTTGCTCTCAACCTGATGTTGGGGGTAACCTACTATCTTACCTCCTCCTTACCCCATACATATGAGAAAAAAAAAGTCATTATGGTAATAAAATGGCCCTTTTCTCAAAAGCATATTTAACCGGAGTTTTGAATTTTTAATACAAAATTTAACCGGAATAATATTACGAATTGTCATAACATCAATATACTTGGATAAAGACTAAAGATAAAAAAATATCATTAAAACATTTATATATTTCAATAATTTTATACGTCTCTAAAATTTGAATATAGTTTTTATTTAAGTATCATAAAATTAAATATTATTTAATAATTTTAATTTCAGATAAAATTGAGTAAGTATATTTGACAAATTAACTAAACTATTCATATTTATTCTCTTAGAACATGAATTCTAGATTTATTTAGAGTATTTCCTTTTCTTTAAATTCAGATTAAGTTGATATCATTTGATTGAGTCCAATTAAACTTAGTACTATAAATAAATGTAATTATAAATTAAATAATAATGAGGTAAAATGACCATATTATCCCCCAAAAGGGTACTTGTCAATGTTTTGGTATTTGGCAAAGTTGTAAACACAGTTGGCGAGTTAAAACCTAACCATGGTTAAGATTCTCAATAAATTATAACATTGCAAGCAAAGTAATAAACCCCAATCGACGGGTTAAAAGTTAACCATGGTTATTATTTCAAACCAATTGTTAAAATGAAAAAATAGTTAGGGCTAACAGGAAAAAATTGCAAAAACAAACACAAAGAAAAGACACATACCCCTAAATCTCTATTTCTTAAAAAGAAAAATAAGAGTTTTCTTATGGGTTTTGGTTATTAGGGAAGGGACTATCCTACAGGTCCGGATTTTGGGATTTTTTTTTATAAAATTGAGAAAATAGTGGAATAAAAGGAAACGACAATTGGCGATGGAGGTATGTCCGTGGTGTCTGTCTGATACAAAAGAACTTTCAATCTACTGGCACTGTTATTATTGTAAGGTATAAATTTCACTATCTTCTTCATAAGTTAATCACTTTAAGTAGTAAAATTTTTTGGGTCTTGATTGATGAATCGTGATGCCCATTTGTTTGGTTTGAATATATATATATATATATATATATATATATATATATATATATATATTGTTTGCATAGGCTGAGTTAGAAGCTTGATTAGAACGCAGATCCATGGATATTGCTTTCGTGTTTATTGTGATTAGTTTGATTCTTAAAACGTTTCTTTATTCGCACTCGGTGTATCATTGTCTACTATAATCGCTGGATAATTCATGTAGGAGAAAGTTCTTATGTTTTTGCATTTGACCCTGTTGTTACTTTGCATTTTAAATGTTCGATGAATTACTTGGCTGTGTATTGTTTGCACTTTCATTTGCTTTCCCCTTTTTTCTGAAAAAATCCCCCTTTTTTAATGTCTTTCTGCAGTGTGTTTTCCGTTGAGCTTTGGACTCTTTCGTTTTTTTGAAGGACGATAAAAATCAGACGTTGAGGTTGACAAGTGTGGGGTGACTGAGATATTTAAGATTTCTCTGCTGGCGGCTCTTTTATCGGAGAGCGACACTGGGAAAGGGGAATGGAGTGCAATAAGGATGAGGCCACTAGAGCCAGAGAGCTTGCTGAGAAGAAATTCACTGCAAAGGATATTAAGGGGGCAAAGAAATTCGCTTTGAAAGCCCAGAATTTGTATCCTGATCTTGAGGGTATTCCCCAAATGATAGCCACTCTAGATGTTTATATTTCGGCGGAGAACAAAATCAATGGGGAAGCTGATTGGTATGGTATACTCGGTGTGAATCCACTAGCTGATGATGAAGCAATGAGGAAACAATATAGAAAGCTGGCTCTAATGCTGCACCCCGACAAAAACAAGTCTATAGGAGCTGAAGGGGCATTTAAACTTATTTCAGAGGCTTGGAGTTCGTTGTCTGATAAGGCTAGGAGAGTAGCATATGACAAGAGGAGGGGTGGGAAAGTAACTCAAACAGGTCCAGCACCTTGTGGGAATTCAAAGACTTCAAAAGCGGCAAATGGTTTTTACAATGCCACCAAAACAAACACTTCAAGTGTGAAAACTTCCAAGAGTAGTAACCCTCATGGAGGTCGGTCTTCAACCCCTTCTGGTCGGTCGTCAAATACCGCTGGTCAATCGTCAAACCCTGCATCTTTCCATAAGGCAAAACCAAATACCTTCTGGACTATCTGTCATCGATGCAAGATGCATTATGAGTATCTGAGAGTGTATCTTAATCATAACCTTTTGTGCCCCAACTGCCATGAGCCTTTTTTGGCTGTAGAAACTGCTCCCCCAACTACATCTACTCCGGCCCCTTGGACATTCTCACAGCAGCGGCAGAATTCAAATAGTCAAGCGGGTAACAAAAACTCAAGTAATATGGGAAGAAACCATTCCTCCTCTTATAATGCTGCGGGATTCACTACTCACGATTCATCTGATCAAAGCAACTTCCAATGGGGTCCTTTTTCTAGGACCGGTGGTACTTCAACTGCAGCTCAAGCTGCAAGTGTGGTTCAGCAGGCATATGAGAAAGTGAGGAGAGAGCGGGAGGAAGCACAGGCAGCAATCAAAAGGGAAGAGGCCATGCGGAAAAGGCATCATGGCACCAAAAGGGCAGGCAGTGCTTCAAGTGGATATACTAATGCTGCAAAGAGAAGGAGAGGCATGGAAGATGGTAGTGCTGGTGCTCATGGAACTAATATTAGCAATCAAATGCGTGTAGGAAATGGTGGTCCAGCTAATATATCAGGTTCTAAGCTAGGCAGTTTAGAAACGGGGATTAATGGAACCAATAAGTACAAGAATACAAGATATATGTCCCAGGTAGAAACTCAAAGTATGTTGAGATATAAGGCTAAGAGAGAAATTCAAAAGAAACTGAATGAATGGAATTCATCTCCGGCAGATAAGACTACAACCAAAGATGTTAGAGGCAATGAAAATGCTAATGAGAAACAGACCAAATCTTTGGTAAACAATGATGCATGGAATCAGAAAAAGGGTGAAGGGTTTGTTGATGAAATCAATGGGGATCTTTTTCTCAAGCCCTTTCCTGGCAGATCTGGTGTTGGTTTAGATGCAGAAACCTTAGAAGCAATGTCCATAAATGTCCCGGATCCAGATTTTAATGATTTTGACAAGGATCGAACCGAAAGATCTTTTGAAGATAACCAGGTATGGGCTGCATATGATGACGATGATGGGATGCCTCGATATTATGCTATGATCCATAGTGTTATTTCTCAAGATCCATTCAAGATTAGGATCAGCTGGCTTAGTTCAAAAACTAACAGTGAATTCAGTCCACTTGACTGGGTAGGTTCTGGTTTCTCAAAAACATGTGGGGAGTTTAGAATAGGTAAGCATGAGATTAACAGCTCACTTAATTCTTTTTCACACAAAGTTAGATGGACTAAGGGGATGCGTGGAGTCATTTGTATATATCCAAGAAAGGGTGATGTTTGGGCTATCTATAGGAACTGGTCTCCTGACTGGAATGAATTAACAACCAATGATGTAATACACAAGTATGATATGGTAGAAGTACTTGATGACTACAACGAAGAACTAGGTGTCACGGTTACTCCCCTTGTTAAGGTTGCTGGTTTCAAGACAGTCTTTCACCGACATCTCGATCACAGAGAAATCAGGAGGATTCCTAGAGAAGAGATGTTTTGTTTCTCTCATCAAGTTCCTTCATACTTGCTTACTGGTCAAGAAGCTCCCAATGCTCCAAAGGGTTGCCGGGAGCTAGACCCAGCTGCTACACCAGTGGAACTACTTCAGGTAATCATGGATGTTAAGGATGAAGAGATTCTGGAAACTGGTAAGACAATTAATGAAGAAAATGTTGTGGGTGTCAAAAAGGCTAATGATGAAGGGATGATTAACTGTAATAAATCAAAGAAAGAGGACAGTGGTTCTAAAGCTGCTGAAGAAGAAGTTTTAGCCAATGTTGGAGATACTTAAGAAGATGACTATATGATGGAGCTATTCTTTGATATGGACTGATTATATGGACTGGCAGTATAACTGTGTGGAATGGATGTCACGGATTGGTCGTAGAATGTTGTACTACGTGGGGCTTTTACCTTGCAATGATAATACAAGTTGATGAAATTCAACAAACAATTGAACACAGTTTTGGGGGCTTCCTGCGGTTCATCGTGAAAGCTCATTTTGGTGCTAGTTCTACTAAATGGAACTTCTTCGGTTTTCGAAAGCAAAAAGCTACAGATGCTGTTCGATGCCATTTCATTCTTGAGACCCTTTTTCTCTATCACAACTCATCAACATGCAGGCGGTCGGCACACCTACTATTTCAATTTTAGTGTTTTTCCTTTTACTCAGTTCTCTCACCTTTAGCCATTTAACAGTCGTGGATTCATGGTTTTTCATGCGTGGCCGTAGAGTTGTATCGTTAGCTGAGATTAGTAAATAACAGTGCAGATTGTGAGTTGATACAGTTAATGCTTAAATCGTATTTGTAATGATGATTTACTTCTTCACAGTCCGTCTTTGTTTTCAATCTTAGGCTTTGGATTTTGTGTAATGTTGAGGGGACCCGACTCCTGTGAGTTTTATGTTAGGCAGTCGATAACCCTAAATTGGTTTGATATTATGTTCTCATTTTTTATTAAGTAGAAATATATTATACTTTTTAAGAAAAACGTCGAGGCTTGAATTCACATAAGATCGTACAATATGAACATCTTTGATCGTTAAACTAATTAATGAATCTCTGTCAGTGTTGAATCATTCCAAATTTTTGATTAGTCTTTACAGTATCATCTGTCAGTAGGTCGTAGAATCTCATAATTGATCAAAAGTATTACTTATTTGTCAATCGATCATTGTAGAGTTTAATTGTATGCAATTTTATCTTTTGAACACTTTATTATCTCTCTTACTCTAATTATTACAATTGATTAATCGTATGCAATTTGTGATCCATCGATCATTGTAGAGTTTAGGTTAGAGAAGGAAAAAAGTAAAAATAAATAAATAAAGTTTGCAATTTTATATTGCATAAACCCTAATTGTTACAAATGATTAATTGCAGAACTTGATTCTTAAAATTTTAAATATGTAAATTTTTTAATGAATAAATTATTATACATCAGATTATTATTTAAGATTTGGTGAAATATTATTTTTATTGTTATTATATATTACTTAAATAATGTGTAAGCCACGCAAATGGTCACTAATGTTTGAGTAAGTTTTCGTTTTCACCACTGATGTTATTAAATTCACAAAGCGATCACTAACATTGTCGTTTGTTACAAATTGGTCACTCGACATTAACAACGGCTGATTTGACACTGTTTGACTATTATTTTGACCTACCGTTCTCTTCCATTTCCACTCTCTCACCTCCCTACTTTTTTTTAGTTCAAAGTAAATTACCCTATAATTGGGTAGATGCTTAAGTTTTTGGCTTCCAAACTTAAATCGGTTAAATTGGGTTAAACCAGTTGAGTCAGTCTTGTTTGGTTTCTTAATCATTTTTTATTATGCTCCCCCTTCTGAGCACAGAATTCTGTTTTAGATTCCTGGATTTGTCATATATTAGTTCAGGATCAGTTCAAAAAACTAATACATATGCTTGCTTGCAGATATGATTCCTCAAAAACTTTTTCTCAAAATGTTGAGTTGACAAACCCCATTATCTCTCGTTTTGATGTCCTATGCGTTGTTAAGGTTACTCCCCTATTTGCTTAATGTTTAGTTTTCATTGTAATGCTTTATTATCATATCTTAATTGGATTAAAAAAAATACACTTGATTTAAAATGCAGGATGTTGTTGACTCTGTAACAGATGAAATGCTTGCACAATTTGTAGTTGACAGTCACTTCAGGTCACAACCTAAGAGTGCTAATATGGATGACAGAGCCTCCAGTGAATCTCAAGAAGAGACTAGAGCCTATGCTGGACTAGCTGATTCAAAGGTTCGTAGTGGTTGTTCTATTACTCTGACTAACTGCTATTACTTTTCAGATCTTGCCCTTTAAATAATCTTATGGATTTTTATGTTTTGCATCGAAGGTTCTTTCTCAAGAATTGCTAAGGAAATATTTAACCTATGCCAAGTTGAATGTATTCCCAAGATTCCATGAAAAAGGATATGGCCAAGCTTACTGAAGTTTATGCTCATCTGCGAAAAGAATCTTCTATAAGATAGTTTTTAAAGTGATTTTAATTGATTCTTCAATGCTTTCTTAATTGTCTGTGTAGCGTGGACAAGGAGTCCCTATAGCGGTGAGGCATATAGAATCAATGATCAAGATGTCTGAAGCTCATGCCAGAATGCACCTTAGGCAACATGTCACAGAAGAAGATGTGGACATGGCTATACGGGTCGTTCTGGAGTCATTCGTTTCAACATAGAAGTTTGGGGTACAAAAAGCCCTACGAAAGCTATAATAATAGCTTCACTTCCTCTTGCAAAAGCTTTCTCCATGTGGTGCAAATACCAGTTGAAGCAGGCATAGTATTAATTTTATGAACTAAAATTGTTGCATAAAGAGCAGTTTTTGAATGAAGGGAAGAAGTTGAGTAGTTGGGGAGCTTTGCCCGAGACAAAGAGAGCTATGGGATAGGCGGCTTTTTTGTTTTCCTTCTGGTAACATAACGTGGAGATAAAGATTGAAGAAGAAAGACAAACGAAAATGGAGAGTTTTGAGTAAAAAAAAAGTATGGAGGTGAGAGAGCGGAGATGGAAAAAGAAGGATAGGTCAAAATAATGGTCAAACGGTGTCATCAACAGTTAACATGTTATGTCTGGTTTTTCATTACCCACAAGAATATCTGTTAATGTTGAATGATCAATTTATAACAAACGATAACGTTAGCGATTGATTTGTGACTTTTGATATATCAATAGTAAAAAAAAACTAACTCAAACATTAGTGACCATTATCGTAGTTTACCCTTAAATAATTTGATTGTGATTTTTTAATATATGATGTTCCACTCGTAAATTTACTAATAATTGAATGGCCCTCTTCCAGATTATCAGAACGGCGACCGGTGGAGGCATGGCATAAGTCTGCTCAAACAAATGTTAAGAAATTGCAGAAACTGGTCTTGTAATGTGCTCCTTTTCTGTTAGTTTTGTAGGGAACTGATGATACATTTACTAGAAATATGTTTACGTTGTGAAGTGTTCGGAATTTGAATAAACACCTCCCCTTCTGTGGCTTTTCATTCTTTATATGCCACTTTTTGCCTATTTCGTTCATTTACGAATTGAATGGACCAATAAGCTTAAGCATCTTATGACAGTTGGGCATTCATATGCTGAGCAAAGTTGGACAAATTTTAACTAGTTATGATCAGTTTATAATATTATCTCGGGTTAGGTCGAATCAGATTTTTAATCCTAAACTCAAATTCAATTTCTTCACATTCTTAAAATAAATTTAATCTGACCTGATTTAAACTTAAATTTTTAACAATAAAAAAATTGATCGAATTTAATAAGGTCGAATTAGATCCCTTCAAATTCGAGTCAAATATCCATCTCTAATTTCAACACTTAAACGCCGTTGCTTTCTCCCTCGTGGTGCAACACATGCAGGAACATTCAGCCACTCCCGGCTCATCACATTGTATGTAGCCAATCGGTTCATTTGTCTCCATCTCAGCCTCTCAGGTGCAACATGAGCAAACCTTTGTTGCCCGAGCAAGTCATTCGAATATGCTTCCCGTAAAATTCTAGGCATCATACGTTTGGCACTCTGTCAACCTCCTTCCCCAAGAGGCGTCATCTTCTGCAGACACAAGTGGCAGCATGTTTTGTCAGCAATCCGACGAGCAGCATTATCTTGCCCTATACTCTGCAAGCGAGCAGTCACTCACAAGTGTGCTATCCATAGAAACAGCTTGTTACTGAAAGTTAACGGCATTCGTCCTGGTCGATTCCATGAATTCTTTGCCGAGTCATTATTGAAGTAAATGTTCTAGAATGAATCTAGAATGCTGCTGAAGTAATCTGCTGTGTGTGTAGAATGTAGTGCAGTTATAGTGCAGGTAGTTTGTTGTATTCTGTTACACCAGATTACCAGCTTAGGTAATTGGTTGCTGTATGTATATATAAACCATGCACTCGTTAATAAAGAATCAAGAAGCTTTCTTCAAAGATTTCAGTCTTCTTTATACATTCTAATAGTCATAAACTTCACGCTCTCCATCACCTGCCACCCACATGACCTTGTAGCCACCAGTAGTTTAAGTAAACAGACCAGACCAGCAGCAGATGCACAACCGGCTGAGAAATCATTTTTGCAGGCTTAAACGTAAGATGGTGCCAATGCCATTTCCTCGCACCTACATTTGTTAGAAGGGAAGTAACAAGTAGTTGACATAAAATAAATGGTGCGGATTTTAAAATAGACAAATGCTCATTTTCATTTTTCAAAGTTGAAGTTTGGTGCATGGTAGATTGATTAGTGTTTCCAATGGGACTCTGAATATGAAACAACAAACTCTCACCAGAAAGCAAAAATAAATAATCTAACACCCATTTTCTTTCATTTTACTTGTTTCTTTCTTGTATTCCCATGTACAATTCCACATTTCCATTATAAAGCAAAGGCCAGGGCCACTCTTCTTTCAATTCATTCCCTGCAATTCCTTGTATCAACTATGGAAACTCCGATGCACCTTTCCGAAGACGACGATGAACATGTTTTCCGCAGCAAATACCCACCGGTGTTGGTGCCGGAAAACTTGACATTGCCGGAATTTATTCTTCAGGATGCTAGTTATATGCCGACAAGGTGGCATTCATAGAAGCGGTGTCCGGGAAATCGTATACGTATGGCGAAGTGGTTCGGGACATGAGAAGATTCGCCAAGGCCTTGAGCTCGCTTGGCCTTAGGAAAGGCCATGTGGTTCTGGTGTTACTACCAAATGTTGCAGAAGTATGGCATTGTTGCTCTCGGAATCATGGCTTGTGGAGTTGTTTTCTCCGGTGTGAACCCGGTCTTGCATCCGTCGGAAATAATGAAACAAGCCAATGCTGCAAATGCTAAGTTGATAGTAACGAATGGTCCAAACTATGAAAAGGTGATGAAATCAAATGCCTCCAGGCTCCATAAAAACTATGAAATCTAACAATGGCAAACATTATATATTGTATTTGGAATTACAGGTGAAAGATCTAGAGCAACCTGTTGTCGTGCTAGGTGAGGAGCGAATCGAAGGCGCCACGAATTGGTACGAGCTGCTGGGAAGATACTCATTTTTTTCATTTAAATATTATTTATATTATTATTATTATTATTATTATTATTAATATATATTATTTATTAATATTACAAACAGGCCCAGATTGGACCGGCCCAATTACAAAGGACCCAACTGCCGCCGCTCAGCTTCAGCCGTTGGATCTGGTTTGATCCAACGGTCCACAGTTTGACAGAGGAAACCCTAGGGTATCAATACCCTAGGGACACGTCCCAGCAGCCGCCGTAGCTTCCAGAAGACCACGCGGCGCTGCTTCAGCCTCGCCGCCACTCCAGCCGCACACATGTCGTCCCAACGGTGAGTCACCACTGCTCCATTCTTTTACCCGGTCCGATGACCACACCGGTGATGGCTATAAAGCCATCACCCCATCTGCGAACAAAAAAAAAAAAGAAGAGACAACGAAGCCAGAGAGACAAAAAAACTGAAAGCAAAGATACCAAAAAAGAGACCAACTCACAACAACCAGCAATCAAAAACAAAAGAAAAGGGAGGAGAGAAGCTTACCGAGGAAGCTACGACCACCGGACCTCTTCAAACGTCACCAAAACCTTCGGAAACCGAAGGTATTTTTCTTAGATTTGCTCCGATCGGGAGCCGTTTTAAAAAAAAACCATCGGAACCGTCATTAGGACGGTCCGATCTATATTTTAGTATAAAATTTTTTTATTCCGGCCACCGAAGACGGTGGCCGGCGGCGGACGGCTGGCTTCTCTCTGTTTTAGAGAGAAGCGAGAGAAAATTCTCTCTCTCAGAGAAGAATGAGAGAGGAAAAAAATGAGAAATGAAGCTGACCCTTCGGGCCAGCCGGATTTGGCTTTAAATAGCCCTTCCCGAACGACGTCGTTTCGGGGAGGGCTATTTGTGTAATTTTTTTAATTGTTAAATCCCGTCCGCCATCCCTCAAATTTGTAAACTTTACATTTTAGTCACTAAATCAATTTATAATCCTTTTAATTCGGTTCTTTAATTTCAATTTTATTTATTTTAGTCCTTTATATTAAAATAATATATATAGGGTAAATAACAGATTTAATCCCTTAATTTTAATAATTAATATTTTAATCCCGAGTTTATATTTTTAATTTATTTTAATCTGATATTCGAATTTTAGATAAGTTTTATTTTAGTCACTAAATTAATAAATAAGAAAATAGCATGTTTAATCCCTATAATTTTGATTAATATTGAATTAGGTTTTTAATTTTAATTTTACTATAATTTAGTCACCAATTTTAAATATTTTCATATAGTTCTAATTGTATTTTTATTGTTTTAATTTTACTTGTTTATATATTTAAATATTTTTATTATTATTATGTAGTCATAAATATATATATAATAAATAATAATTTATTTTTTTAATAAATTATTTTAATATTTATTTTTCAATATCGAAGAAAAGGGCAGTCTTAATACAACTGGATGTCCTATTATGGTATTTTAAAATTAAATATTATAAAAAATTATTATTTAATTTTATTCAAATTAATATTTATTAATATCAAAGAAAAGAGCTGTCTTAAGCCACCTAGAAGTCCTTTTCCGATATTTTTAAATATTTTTTATATAATTTTGAAATAATAGGATTATAAATTAAATATATTTTGAATTTTTAAATTTCTAATAATAGAGACAATTTATAATTAAAAAGTACCAATTTTGGGCGTTGTAGGGGTGCTAATCCTTCCCTAAACGTAACCGACCACGAATCCCTTTTTATTATTAAAAAGAACGAATTTTTGGTTATAAACGCAGATCAGTTCATTTTTTAATTGATGTTTTCTTAAAACTCTTTTAAAAAAATAATTTTTAGGTATTCGACCTACCTGACCCAAAAGGCCGATGGCGACTCCCAAATTATTTTCAAAAACCATTTATTTACATCAATTTTCCCGCCAAATAAAAATTTCGTACCCGGACGAAAACCGGTTACGACAGCTTGGCGACTCCGCTGGGGAACCAGTCAAACTTTAAAATCAATTGTAAATTGTCTTTATCAGTTAGAAATTAAAAATTCATATATTTAATTTTTAATTCTTTTCTTTCAAATTTTTTATTACTTATTATTTTTATATATTATTATTTTTTTTTTTATTTATTTATTATATTCAAGAATTAATTATTTTATTTGTTTGTTAGAGGTTTTAACATTTCTCCTCACACACAACACTTGCATAACATAAAGCTCTATAATTGAGTTTGTCCCTTTTAAGTGGGAGTGAAAGCGACGTCTTCGTGAGAATTTATTCTCCGTGTCAGACCTAGCAAGTAACTTTCGGGGTTCATATGCTCTATGTCTTCGTGAGAATTTATTCTCCGTGTTAGTCATAGAGAAATGTATCCCCTCGAATTGAACTCGATCCGTTTAAGTCTGTAATAGACTAGGATTGAGGATTTGATAGCCCAAGGGGGCATCAACAAGGACAGTTCGAGTACCTATACTCTTAGAGCTGAAAACCTGCATATAATAAACCCTAGAAACTCTCCCGATCTGAAATCATGCCGAAATTTTGTCAGTAGGTATACACAAAGGAGAAATAAGCTCTAGCTTTTAATTTATTTTATTTCCTTTTCTTTTTCCTGAATAAATGCATGTGAACTAGAAATCGTGCGGTTAGGTTAAATTTTCCAAACAAAGCATGGAACTAGAAAGCATGAGGTTAAGATTTATACCTTGATAAATAGATTTTTTTCCCATTAGTTGGTACTAATTATTCTATTTTTTGTTTTCTTATTTTTCCATGCATGTTACATTGCTCTAATTTGTTTATATTCTTTTGTCTGCATTACATGATCATGGCATAACCAAAAGGTGTTGACTTGAAATACTGTTCATCAAATTGGAAAGAAATCGTAAATGGACAAAAAGTTTTATGATCAACCAAAATATGATACGGCCAAGGAAAGACATCCTGAAGAAACTACGAGGATCGAGGGAAGTTCTGTACATAGAGAACCGGTTATATTAATACCAAAAGTACTCCACGAAGATCCTGCCAGATTGATACCAAAAGCAGCCTATGGTAAGAGCATCAGTCAGGGAATTCAGAGTGGAGGAGGTTTTTATGAAGCTCAAGCATGTTATTTGAAGGACTTGAACGACCAAAATAAGAAATTGAGCACAAAAATGAAAACCATGCATGAAGATTTTCAGAAGATCAGTCAAACCTTTCAAAATGCTGGCCTAGGAAGCACCCCAGAAGAGTGGATCACAGGGGTCACCAAGCTGAAAAAGAGCTGCAACATATATGAAGATCTTGTTCAAGAACTTCTTGGACAGAAAGGTTCTCTTACAAGGGAAAATGAGCAACTCCGAGAAGTGACACAGAAGATAAAGGAGAATGTCATGGAAGAAGTTGCAGTCCAGACAAGCAATATGTCCCTTAAGCTGTTAGACTAATTTGGCTTTGGAGAAATTAGGAATAAAATATATCCCTATATGTAAAATTTTGTTTGATGTACCGAAACTTTTGTGTTCAATGAAATCTGTTCTAAGATGATCATTCTTGAGTAACACCTTTTCATGCATACATTTGCATTTTGCATCCTTGCATTTTTCATTTTGTATTTATACTTTCATGTTTGCTTTTGTATTGCACAATTTGTATTCTTATTATTACATTCATATATTTATATTTGCATTTGGCATCTTTGCATTTTTTTATAATACATTAAAACATTCATTAAAATAAGGATTTCAAACGAAGTGATCTTGGTTTTTCCTTGAAGCAAGAACGCTCAGCACGACACAAGAAAAATGTCTAAAGAAACTGAGGATAGGCTAGCCAAATTTGAGATAGAGCATAAAGAAATACAAGAGGAATTAAGGAGCAAGTTGGCACAAATTGAAGCTAATATCACAAATTCTCATATCGATCTACTGAACAATATGAAAGAAATGATTGAGAAGCACCAGACAGCTGGAAAGAGTCTTGTTGAAAACCCCACAAATTCTTTGGGCGTTACACCTGTTCATATTCCTGAATTCACCTCTGTACCCCAGGAAATTCAATCACCGATTTACTTTGCTGTTAAGAACTCACCATATCAAGCTGGAACATCGTTCCCCACTTATTGTCCTACTACTTCTGAGTTGAAGCCTGATGAATTTTGTATTAGTAATGAGGTCCTTGACCTAAACAAATCAGTTGAGAAGGAAAAATTCACTCAACTACTGGAAAATAGAGAAGAGGTGATAAAATCTATAGAGACAGTTGAGTCATTTTATGGGTTTGATGCCAAAGAACTAAGTTTGGTCCCTGGCCTGGTTATTCCACCAAAGTTCAAGGTTCCAGATTTTGAGAAGTATAATGGGACCCATGCCCTTCATATCATATCACTATGTATTGTCGTCGTATGACTGGCTATGTAGAGAATGAAAAATTGTTGATCCACTGTTTCCAAGATAGTTTATCTGGGTCTGCATCCAGATGGTATAATCAGCTAAAACGTACTCAAATACGTTCTTGGAGGGATTTAGCTCAAGCTTTTTTGGGTCAATACAAGCACATGACTGATAAGGCCCCTGATCGAACAATGTTGCAAAGCATGAATATGAAGTGCAATGAAAGCTTTCGACAATATTCACAACGATGGAAAGACGTTGCTTCTCAAGTACATCCACCATTGACTGAAAAAGAGTTCACTACTTTGTTCATCAGTATATTAAAATTTCCTTATGTTAATCACATGATAGGGGTTGTCCCTAATAATTTCTCTAACATCATCATAAGTGGAGAAATCATCAATTTCCTCCCTTCCACTGTTCGAGTGAAAAATTGCATCCAAAAATGCTATTAGCCAGATCAATTACTCCACAACTTGATCAATCACAGTGGCCTCCAAATGAGAATTGGACCTATAAGGAAGTTCCTTGGATAAATTAGACTGGAATTCCAAATTGTTCAGCTAAGGTTCCTGGTAACCTTAAGAGAAATTTCCAAGACCCTTTAGAGCAAGCAATTCAAAAATGCAAG